CATGACTTCCATGATCCATGACTTCCATGATCCATGACTTCCATGATCGGACAAGAGTAAATCCACTACAGTGTGTGTAGAGTGAAACAGTGCAGTACAAACTGTACCCTGGATATAACATACACTCATGCATGGATATAACATACATTCATGCATGGATATAACATACACTCATGCATGGATATAACATACACTCATGCATGGATATAACATACACTCATGCATGGATATAACATACACTCATGCATGGATATAACATACACTCATGCATGGATATAACATACACTCATGCATGGATATAACATACACTCATGCATGGATATAACGTACATTCCTACCTGGATATAACATACACGCATACCTCACTAAGCCGGGCGCTCTGGGACCGGGCACTGTCCATAACTTCGAAATGTCCGTAATTCCGAATCACATACAGAAAAAAGGCCATGCATATGGCGTATGACGTCACCACTGCCATTCGATTCTGTTGCTGTCGTTGTTGCTGCTGCTGTCATAGGTACCCCGTGTAGCAATGACTCCGGGATCAAGTGTACTGGTGGATCTGAATGTAGGCAGGTCTCCTCTCTCAGCATATCCAACACTGGTAGTAGCAATTTGACGGTGATCAGAAGAATTTGTACTTGTCCACCCGGCTACAGCTACGATAGCAACGCTGGCTATTGTCTCGATGCCAGCTCATGCCCGCCATGTGGCCAGAATACTGTGTGTGTGCAGGGGCCTAGTCCTCCGATGCAATGCCAGTGCCTTTCAGGATACTAGTAAGTGACATTCGATAAGCAGTGTGTGTGTGTGTGTGTGTGTGTGTGTGTGTGTGTGTGTGTGTATGTGTGTGTGTATGTGTGTGTGTGTGTGTGTGTGTGTGTGTGTGTGTGTGTGTGTGTGTGTGTGTGTGTGTGTGTGTGTGTGTGTGTGTGTGTGTGGGTGTGGGTGTGGGTGTGGGTGTGGGTGTGGGTGTGGGTGTGGGTGTGGGTGTGGGTGTGGGTGTGGGGGTGGGTGGGTGTGGGTGTGTGTGGGTGTGTGTGGGTGTGGGTGTGTGTGGGTGTGTGTGGGTGTGTGTGGGTGTGTGTGGGTGTGTGTGGGTGTGTGTGGGTGTGTGTGGGTGTGTGTGGGTGTGTGTGGGTGTGTGTGGGTGTGTGTGGGTGTGTGTGTGTATGTGTGTGTGCCAGCGACATCTAGGAGGGCAATGCTGCGCCAGTTGTTGCAGTTGGTCAAGTCACCCTTTTTGGGAATCGGGACGAGTTGGGCATCCCGCCAATCCTGGGGAACCGTTCCATTGGTCCATGCAGTGTGAATAACATCAAGCAGAGCCTCAAGCAATGGTGTACCACCAGCTTTAAGCAGTTCAGGTGCAATTCCAGATGAGCCAGGAGCCTTGCAATTAGCCAGCTGGCGTATAGCCATAGTGAGGTCCTCTAGCGAGGGAAGTTGGCCGAGTGACTCATCAACGAGGTCGCTGGCAAGGTTTGTGGCCGTCTCATTCAGGACCGTCTCCAACTTGTCGCGGAACAAGAACTTCCAGAATCTCAGTGTGGCTTTCGCCCTGGTCGCGGCTGCGCTCATGCCATCTTTTCCATTCGCCAGCTCATCGAGAAATCGTACGAGCACCGTCAGAAGCTGTTCTGTGTCTTCGTAGACCTGAAGAAAGCATATGATTCCGTACCACGCCAAGCACTCTGGCTAGCGTTGGGGAGGCTAGGCATTCCTGAAGGGCTCCTGAATCTAATCCAATCGTTCCACGAGAGCATGCAGGCAGCTGTGCGTGTCGGTGCCAGCACTACCGAGTCGTTTGCGGTCAACAATGGCCTCCGTCAAGGCTGTGTGATGGCCCCAGTACTTTTTAATCTGTACTTCGGCGTTGTGCTTGAGCGGTGGGCACAAGTGATGCAGGGCAGCGACCATCCACCTGGCATCCCCATCCAATTTAGCATCAATGGCAACCTTTCCTCTAAGCCCGCTCGTCAGTCTACTGCCGCAATCATCAACGACATTGAGTACGCAGATGACGCGGTCTTGCTCGCTGAAGACCACCCTGGTGCTGAGAAGTGCCTTGAAACATTCTGCACGGTTGCCTCTTCCTTTGGCCTCTGCGTCAACGCTGCTAAAACGAAATTTCTCGTGGCAAGTAGCCAAGTCGACATGCCTGATAGAGCCGATATGAACGTCAACGGTGATACTGTGGAGCACGTTCCATTCTTCATTTATCTGGGGTCCGTCGTGACACCGGATGCCCGCTCCTCCACTGACGTCAGTCGCCGCATAGCTGAGGCTTCCAAAGCCTTTGGAGCTCTTCTTCCAGTCTTGTCGGATCGCTCGCTGTCATTAGTCAGTAAGCGAAAGCTATACGTGGCCTGTGTCTTGTCCATTTTGCTGTACGGCAGTGAGTGTTGGACGCCCTTGAAAGCTGATAGTAGACGTTTGGATGCCTTCCATCATCGCTGCATCCGCACAATATCAGCCATCCCTCGCAGTCAGCAGCAATCCGATTGCATCACGTCTGCGCAGTTACGTCGTCACTGGGGTGACCCAGTGCCACTCTCTGTTAAGATGCGCCATCGTCGTTTAGAGTGGCTTGGTCATGTGGCTCGGATGTCGGAGGACCGTGTCCCATTGCAGCTGTTGTTTGGTCGTTTGTTGGCTGCGCGCCCCTTCTGCGGTCCCAGGCGCAGGTGGAGAGACGTTGTGGCTACTGACACGAAGTCCATTCCAAACTGGTTTGATTGCGCACAAGACCGGTCAGCTTGGCGAGAGCAGGTTCTGGTTTTTCAGCCTCCTCGGGCAGTAGAGAAATCCGTACTCTGCTCATCTTGCAACCGGGCTTTCTCTCGTCCTCAAGACAAGGCACGGCACAAGTGTTTGGCTGAGCGCCAACTTCCCGTCCACCAACAGCGTGGTTCAGCACAGTGCGTCAGTTGCTGCCGATGGTTCCGAAGTAAGGGTGGGCTTGCAGTTCATCGCTGCCAGCCTGCACTCCCTGAACATGCAGATACGGCATTGACGGCGTCTCTCGCTAGTTGCTGCTTTCAGCATTGTCAACGCTGCAATCGCTGCTTCAAGTCCCGGGCTGGTTTTAACCGCCATAACTGCAACCGTGGAAAACGTCTTGCTGCAGCCGATAGGGAATCACTACCGCTGATCTGCATGCATTTCCCGAAGCGTTTCCGACGACAGCAAGATTTGACGAGGCACCAGAAGTCCTGCCAATGACGGTGCCCTCCAAACTCTGGCCCCCTCCGGGGGTGACATTGCCCAATGGGCAGTCATGCTATAGTAGTACCGTAAAATCCCGCCAGAGCGCCCCGTCTCTCCTATCCGCCCCTCCCTGACTTCTTGTCAGGGACGTGATTTCTCGTATCTCGGTCGCAGTCTGTGATGCCGTACTGTACTGCAGGCGCGTGCTCAACCCCGTTGGAAGTGTACGCAACAGTGCCCACCCTCTTGACCAGGGATCGCACAAACCCGAGTTTTGACGGGTCTGTACGACTCGTGGCTCTTGACCTTTGGTCGGTGTAGAGATGCACGAACAGTTTTCGTAGGGTGAGTACTTTTTCATGTAGCACTGAATGCGGCAAGTAGGACTCGCCCATCCGCCCCTCCCCACCTGAAGCGTGGAGGAGGTAGGGGCGCTCTGGCGGGATTTTACGGTAGTAGTAGTAGTAGTATGTGTGTGTGTATGTGTGTGTGTGTGTGTGTCTGTGTGTATGTGTGGTGTGTCTGTGTGTGTGTGTGTATGTGTGTGTGTATGTGTGTGTGTGTGTGTATGTGTGTGTATGTGTGTGTGTGTGTATGTGTGTGTGTGTGTGTGTGTGTGTGTGTGTGTGTCTGTGTGTATGTGTGCATGTGTGTGTGTGTGTGTATGTGTGTGTATGTGTGTGTGTGTGTGTGTATGTGTGTGTGTGCGCGTGTGGTGTGTCTGTGTGTGTGTGTGTCTGTGTGCGTGTGCGTGCGTGTGTGCGTGCCTGCATGCGTTGCGTGCATGTGTGTACGAGTGCACACATACTAGTACTTACATTTACTCAATCACATACTAGTACTTACATTTAGATATGCTTATTTTTGCCCTGTGCTGTGCATTCAGCGATGCTCCATGTGATTCAACACACCCGTGCAGCAACCGCACCATTCTCAACTGTGTCAGGACCTCATCAACTAGGTAAGCTGGTCAAGGCCGGTGTTTTGCCTGGACTGCTCAACACTGCTCAACACTGCTCAACACTGCTCTTATGGCCCAAACACTGGAATTTTTTGGAGAGTACTATTCTGCAGACATTCACTGTGATCTTCATCTTTATCTCGTGTGATGTCAGTGATACCTGCAGAGGGTCACACGGGCGAGTGATCCGGTTGAGTGTGGTAACTGCCTGCCCGAAAATGGTGTGCCAGGTTCATATCAGGCCTTCAGACCAACATACCTGGTCGATCCTGAGTCCTGACCCAGTGGCGGTGTGTAGTTGAGCTTTCTCCTAATGACACTGTTGCTGTGACGGTGCTCAATGAGCTGCTGGTCACACTCTGTGGGCAAAGTGGGACAAACTACCGTATTTTCCAGAGTATACGCCGCACTTTGAACACTCTAAATTCACCCAAAAGAACTGAGGTGCGGCTTATACTCCGATGATCAAATTAACGGTGATAAATAGGGTAGATGTCTGTATTTCGTGGCAAACAAATGGGGGAGGGGTGTAGCTTATACTCCAGTGCGGCTTATAGTCCGGAAAATACGGTGCTTGTTCCTCTGAGCTAATCGCCAAAGGGCGGTCATGACACAACACCGTCCACTGTGCTGTATTTAGCATTTACCCACCCTCCATTCCCAGCAATAGTATCTATCACACAGCATCTACTGTGCTGTATAACTATTTACCTACCCTCCATTCCCAGCAATAGTATCTATCACACAGCATCTACTGTGCTGTATAACTATTTACCTACCCTCAGTGCCCAGCAATAGTATCTATCACACAGCATCTACTGTGATGTATAACTATTTACCTACCCTCAGTGCCCAGCAATAGTATTTATCGTGTGTGCTGCCTGCATAGCTTTAAGTTGCAGGAGTCGAGAATTAACAACAGGCAACCTGCTTTCAGATATGTACTTGCAGCCAGGCCGGCCAGCAAGACGGCAAGAGCTATTGGTACTTGGCACTTAGAGAAGGTGTTGCTTTGTAACATTCACCGGGAGCTACATGCGTCGAATGTTTGTTTTATTATGTCTGTGTGCTTGATGCCCAGTGAGCCGTCCAGTCTCTCCGGTAAGTCAGGATCACTATATATGCGGTACTTGTACGTTGTTTCCTGTAGTGGGTTTTGAGCCTTTGGTTTGTGGGTGTGAAATATGTGTCTTTCCATCTGAGCATGCTCTCCATAATTGGTATCTGGCTGAGATGGTACCAGCAGCAGCTAACAAGCCCTTCATTAAAAGCACATGTGGCTACGGAAAAGCTTGCTTGGGAGGTACATGTACTAGGTATGTAGTACATACTCTTGATGTCACTCAGTCACTGTGTGTGCCCATCGTTCTATCATTGTCTCCTTGGCATATGCATGTACGGGTGCGGTACTTGCAGGGACGGGGTGTCCATGTGTCCACCTGTGTGTCTGTCTGTGTCTGTGTCCATGTGCATGCTGCATGCTGCATGTATGTATGTGTGCATGTGATTAGTGACATCAGGGTTTCCAACCCGGGGTCAAATTGATGGGCCCAGTGCTGCTGCTCCCATTAAAGGTAATTGTTTAAAGTACTTTGTACTAAAAAAAGAGCAACTTGTACGGGTGCTCCTTAATCAAGAATCAACACTTTCCATCTTATAGTATTGTGACTAGAAGGTGTGTGGCACCCATGACAGGCCGTTTATCTTGCCAGAAACAGTAAAAGTACATAGCTCAAGTTGGTGGTACAGATCTGAAACAGTAAAAGTACATAGCTCAAGTTGGTGGTACAGATCTGAAACAGTAAAAGTACATAGCTCAAGTTGGTGGTACAGATCTGACAGATCTCTACAAAAACGAAATTGAGCAGTACTGAACATAGGTACATGAAAGCTACAAAGAGTACGCAGCTTCTGTATGGATGTCTGTCATGGCAATATTCCCTGGAAAGTTGCATTCTAGTTGATGCAGATAAGCAGCGGGAGGTGGGGTAGCAGGTACAATACTTGTGCTGTGCAGCAGAAAATCTGCTCGAGTCCTATATTCTGCATCGCTAAACCAATAAAAATATGCAATCCAGAAAGTTTGCATTGACAGCGTGTGTGTGCGTGCGTGCGTGCATATTATACAGTTATCTGTCTCATTCAGATCTTGTTCGCTATCGTTGCCATAAGAGAAAATATGTGGGTGCACATCCAGTGCATTTGCAGATTTGCGTGCTTCTCTTGCGACGGGCGTATACCATAAAGTTGCGGATAAAAGCCGGGTTTGCATACAGGCACATCGCGGATAGAAGCCTGAAAATCAAACGGGTCAAATGCATACAAGCCTGTCGCGCGTAGAAGCCTGGCTTCTATGCAAGCGCGGATCGGGTAGGTCAAGAGTGCATGCGCTATGTACGGTGCATAGTAAAACTACCACCATACCGGTAGTCAGTGGTAGATCTACGCGTGTCGCGCTTGGAAGCCTGGCATACAAGCCTGACAAAAATATCAGTGGTGCATATAAGCCTGGTTTGCATACAAGCCTGGTTTGCATCAAACTTTAAAGCCTGATGCAGAAAGCGGCTTATATGCTTATAAGCCTGGCTTTTATCCGCGACTTTACGGTACATGGTACATGGTGTGTGTGTGTGTGTGTGTGTGTGTGTGTGTGTGTGTGTGTGTGTGTGTGTGTGTGTGTGTGTGCACGTGTACGTGTGTGTTTGCACATGTGTGTGTGTGTGTGTGCTCCTCGTAATTTCTTTGAGCATGAATACAAGTTGTGTGTGTATATATGTGTGTGTGTGCACGCGCGTGTACATCTGCGCGCACGTGTGCTCGTGTGCATTTTATCCTCACAGCAGGATCAGTTGGCTTGGCTGTGGGAATCCCTTTAGGTGTATTCCTGTTAGCCTTCCTGCTCATCTTGATTGTGTACATGTACCGAAGGTAAGCAACACTTGCGCTTTGAATATCTCTTTCTGTTGATAGCATGGATAGTTTAGTCCAAATTCCCACCCCCACACATACACTCTCTGACCTCTCCGGCCGACCTCGTCCACCGCACTAACAATGCGACTCCAAGTTGTTGTAGATATTGGCGTACTCTCCGCCATGATCCAGACAGCCGTTTCGATCATTGAAAGATCTCATCGGGAAGGTTGCATGGAAAACAATACAATCATTCTTCGACCTATTCTTGGTACAGCGAGAATGGCTATGAAGAAGCGCGTTTGTGCACTTTGAGGTAACAGGGCCGAGCGTTGAGGCAAGGAGGTCTTGCTTATGGCACTCATGTCGATTCCACTTGAAGTTATGGACATGCTCTGTTGTCTTGGAAGAGCGATGGGATCCCCTTAAAGCGTTATAGTATAATGTACACGTACTTGTCCACAGCAACCAACCTCATACTCTCCTCCTCTGCAAGATATTTTACCAAACACTGAATTCAAACAGGGTGCTCAACCACAATGCTCTTGTTGTGCAGCGCCAGTCACTACTTTGTCATTTCCCTGAACGGGGCCTTTTCTTCATTAACATCAGACAATTTCTTTTTGAACGAGTTCCGACTCTGCTGGATATTTGTGTGTGACTGTGCACATGGTTTACACACGGTTTACACACGGTTTACACACGGTTTACACATGGTTTACACACGGTTTACACACGGTTTACACATGGTTTACACATGGTTTACACACGGTCTGCTCACATTCAAATACGAGGCAAAAGCAACACAATGATGAGAAACCAGGGTATGATAGGAAGATAATATTAAAAATACTACACAGGTGTGGAAAATATGTCTCCGGAATGGCGAGAGTCACACTAAAACCGGCTTTCAACCACTGCCAGCTCCCTGAGCTCCTTAGCTGGACGATGGTTTACACATGGTTTACACATGGTTTACACATGGTTTTAGGGTTGGTTCACATATCGCCGGTACGCGCCGGGAGTCACCGGCGGTGGGCTTCTTGCAACCTCTCCCGGCGCAGTGCGATTGTGTGAACCATTGCAGTCGTAACAAAATCATACGGTAAAATATCGCAAGGGACCGCCGGCAAAGTTGGGCAGTGCCCAACTCTTGCAATCTGCCCCGGCGCCGATCCCATACAATTTTGACCAAAAGTGGTTTGTGAACCATTCGCGCCGGTGATCGCCGGCTGCCGGGAGCCAGACTTTGTCAAAATATCAAACCAATACTTGTCCTAAATTTTCCTAAATTGAAGCTAGAGAGGAGGTCCGTTCGCCATTCTTGTAGTCGCTTCAAGGTGGCAAATAAGTCAGCATACCAGCCCGTCCTTCTCGGATGATCTGCTTGACCAGTGTGCAACTTATGAGACAAATACAATTGAAACAAATAAAAAATATGATGGATACATTGGCAAGTTCTTGTGACTTCATCAACGTTTGCAAGCATAATTTCGACACAATCGCTTACTACTGCAATAAAATGTGTAGAAGTAGTTTCATGATCTCCAGTAAAAGGTAGCACCGAGTGGCCATCACCGAAAGACCTTCAACTACTGAAGTAACAAAGAATTCAAGCTTCAATTGGCAAACCTGTCGTAGCATTTGGGCACATTCTGTACTACTTTGTAGTAGATTTGGTACTCGAACCGTATGCACAACGGATCGGGAGCTGGCTCACCGCCGATGTCTTGCGGCGCCGATTTTGCTTATGTGAACCAACCCTTACACACGGTTTACATACGGTTTGCACATGGTTTTACACATGGTTTACACATGGTTTACACATGGTTTACATACGGTTTACACATGGTTTACACACGGTTTACATACGGTTTACACATGGTTTACACATGGTTTACACACGGTTTACATACGGTTTACACACGGTTTACACATGGTTTACACATGGTTTACACACGGTTTACATACGGTTTACACATGGTTTACACATGGTTTACACATGGTTTACATACGGTTTACACATGGTTTGCATATGGTTTACACATGGTTTGCACATGGATTTCTGATTTTTCTGGAACTGCCACAGGAGACGGCTGAACGCACATTTTCTACACAATCGCATGCCCAGGGAGCATGGCACCGGAGATGCAGCAGAACAAGATCTTGTAGCAAACGAGCTGGTATGTGCGATGGTCGCAGCACTATGCTGATCAGTTGAACGTGTTCTACGCACACTGGTGATATTTGCTTAGTGTTGGGCATCCACTCTGTGCCATGCTCTGTTCTGCGACAAGCTGACTAAGTGGGTATGCACTCTGTCCCATGCTCTGTTCTGCAACAAGCTGACTAAGTGGGTATGCACTCTGTGCCATGCTCTGTTCTGCAACAAGCTGACTAAGTGGGTATGCACTCTGTGCCATGCTCTGTTCTGCGACAAGCTGACTAAGTGGGTATGCACTCTGTGCCATGCTCTGTTCTGCGACAAGCTGACTAAGTGGGTATGCACTCTGTGCCATGCTCTGTTCTGCGCCAAGCTGACTAAGTGGGTATGCACTCTGTGCCATGCTCTGTTCTGCGACAAGCTGACTAAGTGGGTATGCACTCTGTGCCATGCTCTGTTCTGCGACAAGCTGACTTTGACTAAATTGACTAGTGCCACCTCCAACATCATGCTTCAGGTCGTAGTGTTTATATTCAGGTCGTAGTGTTTATATTCAGGTTTCAATGTGGCCTGTATTAACGTACTGTGTGTGCATTTCTTCTGTGTGTATTTCACTGCAGGTTCCAGAGCCAAAGACTAGCATGTCCAGCAGCCCCGTAGTAGTAGGTGCGTCACTGCTAAGCATGGACAATCCCATGTATGACAGTCGTGCTGATGATGATGCTGCACCTCTAGCTGCCAATGAAGTCTTGCCCACTCTCGATGGTGACTCTGTCTCTCCTGTCCATGCATCTGCGCCTCCTGCCTCTGCCGCTGCTGATTCTCCTGCTGTGGGTAAGTGCTCTTTGCCCGTGTGTGTGTGTATGAGAGAGGGTGTAAGTGTGTGTATGAGTGTGTGAGAGAGTGTGTGTATGAGAGAGGGTGTAAGTGTGTGTATGAGTGTGTGAGAGAGTGTGTGTGTATGAGAGAGGGTGTAAGTGTGTGTATGAGTGTGTGTGTGCATGTATGGTGTGTGTACGTGTGTGTGTGTGCGCGTGTGTACGGTTGCATGTGCGTGCATGGTGTGCGTGCATGGTGTGGTGTGTGTGTGTGCGCGCGCGTGTGTGTGTGTGTGTGTGTGTGTGTGTGTGTGCGTGCGCGTGTGTACCCGTGTGTGTGCCCGTGGTGCGTGTGTGCCCGTGTTGGGTGCCCGTGTGTGTGTGTGTGTGTGTGTGTGTGTGTGTGTGTGTGTGTGTGTGTGTGTGTGTAGTAACTGTGTGTGCATGTGTGTACATGTGTGTACATGTGTGCATGCATGTGTGTGTGTGTGTGTGTGTGTGTGTGTGTGTGTGTGTGTGTGTGTGTGTGTGTGTACATGTGTGTGTGTACATATGTGTGTGTGGGTATGTGTGCATGTGTGTGCATATGCATGTGTGTTGTGTGTGTGTGCGCATGCATGCATGTGTGCGTGTGCACATGTGTGCATGTGTGTGTGCGTGTGTTTGCATGCATGTGTGTGTGTTTGTCTGTATGCTGTCTGTCTGTGTGAGTGTGGCTTAGCTGCTCCTAATTTTAATGCAGTGCACTGCTTGCTGTAGTTGTTGCCAGTGGAGTACAGCCACTGAGCAGTGGTATTTACTGCATTCTGATATTCGCTAGCAACAGCTGTGCCATTGTGAGTAACAGTTATGCTAAGGATACTCAGCATACTCAGCTGTAGTAACAGTCTGCTGATCCTGAACTTCATCTGTTGAGGGTCTGTGCATGTGACTCACGTTTGGCTAGAAAGTTGAAACAAGTATTAGTTACTGTACGAGTTGAATCTCAAATGAAGCACAAAGTGTAACGATTTAATATACGAGGAAAACTCCATCGTCAACTCAAGAAACAGTGCGTAAAACCTTTCTTGTACTAGAGAAAAAAAAGACGAGCGTGTGATGTCAGGGGTCGTTTAAAAAAATAAAACCCCGTGCCCACTAAAAGGGGATTTTCCTCAAATCGTAACAGATCTATTGGTCCCAACCGTTTTAGTACCCACAACGTGTGCAAGCTACAGCCAAATTTCGTTTCCTTTTTTGTTAAAAACAAGACTCGGCAGAAACAAAGACTCAAATAGTTACTGTGTGTACATGGTGGTCCCTAACGCTGCACTACACCCTAGGCCTAATGCTGCACTGTAAAACTACATTGCAAACGAACATCCACAGTAGTGTCATCTGAATACATCACCGCAATCTTACTTGATTGATTCTATCATTTGTACAGCCACTGGATAAGCAGCATCACTAGCCAGCAACACCACTACTACTTCACAGGCCTGGCGCGCACAGTGTACGCTGCTGCTGCTGCCTTCACCTATGATAAACATCCAAAGTTCCGAACATAGGAGCACGTTACACGTGCGTGCTGCGTGCTTATTGACTCCTGTACGGTGTGCACCGCTCGCACACACTATAGAACCATGCTGCTGCTTTGCGTATTGCTAACAGATGTGTAGCTTCTCCAGTCACATGATCTTGTAACATTTAATTATACTCTCGTACATGTCTTTATGAACCAAAACTTATTTCTGGTCATTGAACCAATAGATAATGTGAATGTTTCTGACTGCCTTTCTGACTACCTCATAGCATTGGAACTGTATTCTCTGTATGAGCTATTGCGATCTCAGTATTTTTCTGGTTGTGGATTTAATTTCCATAATGTACTTCGAAGTAGATTATATTCTATCTAGTGTTCCTTCATTTTGCATTGAGAGTGCTGCTGGTCATTGTTTGCGTGCTTTGAGTAGTAGTTGAGCTGGTTGTAATCAGCCTCGCCTCCTGTTTGGTATTTATAATTTCACTATGGTCAGCATGGAATGTGTACATGCTGCTGCTGCACGTACGTGTCACAATGAATATGTCCTCCCCAAATATGATTTGATTTGACCATTCTATCCATCAGCAAATTTGTCTCCTCCTTTTTTTCCGTTTGCTGTTATTGCTATCAAATAATTACCGTTGTACGGTTGAACATTTTTTGGTAAAAAGAAAGAGAACATGCAGAGAACATGTAGAGAGAACATGCATTCGAATTGTATGTGTTTAAATTTCGGCCTCCCAGGGCTAAAACACATTTTGGCCGCATTAAAATTCGGGCCTGTGTACGGCATGCAGCTGCCTGTCTGTATACACTGTCACACTGCACACTGAACATTGCAAAACAAAATTTCAGCTGCAACAAATTTTTGCTCAGGCCGAAAATAGCCAAAAATAAATGTGGGCCGAATATTAAATTTTTGTTGACTTGAATACAGTATTGTTGTATGGTTGTACTGTCATGTACTGTCATGGACATGGAAACCCAGTCAATTGACCAGGGCCGGCACCCTCAGCGTGTACAGAACTTTGCATGCGGTGCACATGTTGTCTATTGTTGATCCGATGCGACCAGCAGCGCATAATAATACTTGTACATGCATATGTGTACTGCTTACCTACAGTTTCATGGCCAGCACCCTGGGGCCACTAGACGTGCGACCGGATTTCCATGTCCACGACAGTAGTTCGGTCGCTGCTTGGATGACGACTACACCATAGCTTAGTGGTGGAGGGTCCCTCTCTCCCTGGTTCGAGTCCTGGTGGCGAAAGTCAATTTTTTCTTCTTCAGGCATTTCCCATTTGCATCTTTCCCTCAAACCACTGAAGGTCGTTTAGTAAGTTCATGCATAGTGGTAAAAGGAGAACTTTTTTTTATGAAGAAGCCTTGATATGTCAAGTTCCGGAAATTAGGGTCATTCTCGACATGGGGATATATAGAGTCTGTGAGCAGCCAGTGTAGAAAGAGTACACTCACCCTTTCCCCAAACTGGTTTCCATAGAGGTAGAAGGTAGAGGTAAGTGCACGAACGTTATCCGACTGGATTTAGTAGTTTTTCACGATATGTACCGTATTTCCGCAAATAAAAGGCCGTCCTCGTATACAACGCCTTCCTCGTATACAAGGCCGGGGCAGGGGCGATTGAAAAAATAAAAGACCGTCTCTGATTAGAAGACCGGGCCTACTAAATGAGTCTTTGTTCTTGTGCTAAAAATAGAAGACCGTGCTCAAACTGTGGGAAAAAATAGAAGACCGTGCTCAAACTGTGTAGAAGAAAATGGAAGAACGGGGGGTAAAAACTGTGTGGCGAGAAATAGAAGACCGGGGTCAAACTGGGTTGAAAGAATAAAAGACCGTCCTCGAATACAAGACCGTCATCGATTATAAGGCCGGGTTAGGACGGGGTTGAAAAAATAGTAGACCGGCCAACTATTTGTGGAAATACGGTATGTGAAATGTTTCTCTTCTGTATGGAGTTGTGTACAACTCGTTGATTTCTCTGGAAATCCCGTACCTCTACCAAGTTCTACCGACTTCTACCAGCTTCAAACTGGTAGAGCTGGTAGAGAAAGGTAGGATCTACTCTTTTGAGTAGAAAAAAAGGAACGCATCTACCGAAAGAAGTAGTTTCTACCCAAACCTGTAGATGAACAAGATCACTCTCCGACTCTGGGTGATTTCAAGTACCTGGATCACTGGCACTTTTATTTGTTTTCAGTCTACAATGCATAATAATTTTATACATTGTCGAGTGTTCAAGTCAATGACTTGAAGTTGACTGCATACGATTCATATATGCTGGGTGAGCGGAACGCAAGCGAGTATGGCGGGGAAGAGAAGTCGCTGATCCTGCATGCTGCAGTGGTTACAGGAAGTCGCTACTGTACTCTAGGATATAGTGTGTGTGGCAGCATTGTAATACTTCCGAAGTATTTGAGCCCAAACAAGTTCGAAAGGACAACGTTTTAAATCACGCTAAAGAGGGTTCCAGACGCTACCTTAAAAAACATGGCACTTTCTTCGGATCCACCTTATCTGTTTCAAATTTCCCACGCAGCAACTATCACCCTGCAAACGTTCACCACCGGTGCATCAACCAACCATTTTTTCTCATTTATCTTGCAAACCGTTTCAACCAGGTCGTAGTAAAATACACGTGGTACAGTCGTGGCCAAAGAAATCCCACCCATGAGTCAAAAGTAGTGTAGCGTTTCCATTTTAATTACATCACGCACGGTCCAAAAACCGATCCAAGGGCCGCAGTGGCCGCATGAGCCTTGGTGTTGCTTTCGGCACATGGGTCGGATTTCGTTGGCAAAGACTGAAAGCACTTCAAAAGTTACTACTCCTTGGACCTGGCTTCAACCTTGACCTAACGTTACATCACTCGTCATCAGTGCTACAAGTACGGCTACTGTAAAACCGGAATGTCTAACGAGTCACAAAGTCAACGTTCTAACGACCATTTTTTTCGTTCTTTGAAGAAACGTTATCGCGAACCCGGTTTGAGATGTCTGTGAAAAGATGCGCATACAGATGGGTGGCCAGGTAGCCATCGTTTTAAAAACTCTCCACTTTATCATGCCAAAATTACGAAAACGTTAAAAAAACTTTTTGGCCGTTAAACTTTCCGGTTTTACAGTACTTGTCAGCCTAGTCTTGATTGATAGCTTACCACTGAGGCATTATGATGACAGCATACCATAGTACAAGGCGGATGTATGGCGGTGCTTGCACTAGATTCTACGTAACACTAGCCTAGCCTACCTTCTACCTAGCATGTAGCCGCCTTTGCGTGTGTCGGAATAACTCACCTTCGAAGGCTTTGAAGATCCGAAGTTCCCCGCTGCCGCTGGTCACAGTGGTACCGTAGTGGTATCGGACCATGAGCCAGCGGTCTTGTCCCGGCATTCATTTCCTAGCGTTGAGCTGCTGCATGCGTTGTTGTCAGTGAAGATAGAAAGCGAGTGAGAGAGGGCCTAGGGAGACGAGAGCGTTCGACAGCGGCAAGTTTGCTAAGAGGCAACCGTTACGTCCGGTATATCACTGTCACAGTCGTAGAGATAGAAACTTGCAAAACCAGCAGAAGCCAGGCGAAAAAGCTCGAAGACGGAGAGCATGCACAAAGAGTTCATACCGACCCAGCGAGGGCTAGGGACGCCTGAAATACTGAAAAGACTGGATGAAAGCTGCTCGGATATCACGGATTGGCGCGGAAGGCCTCACGGCCTGCGAAGAAAACAACCCCACCACAAAAAAAAACACAAGACAGTTCTCGTGCAAAACCCGGCCGGGGGCCCAGGCCGTTTACGGAGCCCGGGGGGGGGGGGGGGCGGTTATGTTGCCTCCAGCGCACGCGATAGTCTTGCCAGTCTTGGCATTGCCTGGAGACGGGGTGAAACTACCGTGAAAGGCAGCATAGACAACACAAAGGATTCTTGTACTATGACTAGCGGAAGAGATTTAGAAACTGCCGTTTGGGCTGTGATCCTGGATTGTTATGCTAGATTGCTAATTATAGGTGCAGCACCAGTATACAACAACAACAACAACAACAACAACAACAACAACAACAACAACAACAACAACAACAACAACAACAACAACCCGTGTGATGACTCACATTGGAGTTGCTGATGGGCACACACATGCACAGACGCCCGTGACTACACTTGCACACATATGATCACGCACACAGTGACACACACACGCGTACGCACACACACACACACGCACACACATACGCATTGACATTGCAATCGATCTTGCCACGCATTGACGATTAAAAAAAACTCAGTATAAAGTTGTTAGCAGAACCTGATGTGGTGTTCTGAACCTCCGGACGAGCGCCGTGGCACCGTGACAATGAAAAGGGGCGGCAGCAACTATGTGTGGCATACTGCATACCAGTACCAGTGACTGAGTCCATACGGTACGCGACCCGCAACGTCCTTCCAGTGCTCTTGTTCAATGCTCCATGCATCACTTGAATCATCAGGCATGCATGTTCGAACAAATGACATCCCTCCATATCTTCCTGCGACAATGGCAAGGCTGCGGTGCAAGCTGTCAAGTGGCCAAACAGACAATAACACTTGCGGACTTCTTACGGGCAATATGTCCAAGTTATCGCAGGTAGTGTCAGAGTATACAGCTGTGATGTCAACATCAGTCCGATGGTCTTGGCGAGGTCAGATGAAAACGTCCCCTCAACGCTGCTTTCAGCCCCCCCCCCCCCCCTCCACCGAGCCGAGGATCATTCACACCCACTGTAGCTGATAATGAAAGTCATTCAGCTTACGCAGATTGGCATCATCCATGCTTAAGCTCCATGTAGTGTTAGTAGCGTGGACGAGACAATAGCCATGTACACGCGTCACATGAGCCGTGTTACGGAGAACGGGCTCCATCGATCCAGAAGGTTCCGAAATAATCGCAAGACGCCTCGGCAATTCATGACGGTATGTCAGCACTTAGACTACCAGCATTGCGCAGTGCACTACCGAGGTGGGTCACGCAGGCGAGATTTAGCGATGCGGTTGCCAACCTGACGTCAACGGTGCTGGTGCGGTAACGTGACACCAGCTTCCAGGCAGTTGAGCCGCCAGAAAGTCATCACCGCCGAGAAATTGAGGTTGAACAGCATGGTCCGATGGAGTGCTACAGTGCAGCTAGCCCTGGTGTAGACCATTATTAGTAGGGCTGAAACGATCATTCAATAACTCTTTTAAAACGATCAACCGATATCATTAACGATCGATATATTATTGGTTTTATCGATTCTTGTCGGCTCTACCCGTGTACCTGGAACACCAGTTTATGAAGAAATCCCACGATACCTTGCTACGTTAGAAAGTTGTGTCTGTCACCGCACTGTTGACATCTGTAGACATCTGGCTGGTTTGTCAACATGACCTAGAGAATTTCATGTTGTTTCTAGAGCGAAGAATCTTGTCATCACCCTCCGGCAACTGCTCGTATCTTTGACCTTTCCCGCAAATGAACTGAAAAGACAAAGAGTATTCTCTTCCGATCTCTTTCAAAGCCACAAATCAATTTTACTGCGCTTGAAAGTACATGATTGTACTCCTATTCACTATCGGATGGAGTGCAAGGGCTAGAATACTGTCACTCATAATTATACATGCATAAAAAAAATCGTTAGCACTCGTTTTGAACACTAACGATTATCGATAGCACTCTTAACGATCGATATGCGAGTTATCGGTATACTTGTTTCAGCCCTAATTATTAGCCTTGATCTTGACAGTTAGCTTACTAGTACTGCCAACACACACCACTGCTTGCATACCTTTGTACCAACACACACCACTGCTTGCATACCTTTGTACCAACACACACCACTGCTTGCATACCTTTGGCCGGGCAGAGATCTGATATCGGACGGCACACTGAGCTTTGAAAGAGCAGACCACAGAACCACCCGAGGGACTGAATCAGGCGTCTTTCTCAGGTCGACAATAAGAATGTAGAGAGGGGACTGATGCTCGATTGACTTCTCTGTCAGCTGACGTACACTGAACACCATTGTCAACACAACCACAATCTGGACGGAACCCGCACACACACACACACACACACACACACATGCACCCACACACACACGCGCACACATTGGCTGTCACCTCATATTATACGAGCAGCCGGCACACATCGGTTCTCAAACTGTGATCAGTTCCAAGACCTTGGTTGAAGAGGAAGGGCCCCAACATCAGAGGCGACAAAGACAGCTGGACAAATGTGCAGTAGAAGCAGTGAAACAGAAGGAGAAGCTGCTATAACAATCTAGACTAGAAAAGAAGTGAAGACACTCAGCTATCAACCTAGCAAGTACTTTAGAGTACATGTGGTGGATGTGTGATTGTCAGGTCGAAAGCTAGACATCTGTAGGGTCCAAAACATTCTAAACAAGAAAGGACTAGACGCTTGGTTTCACATGGTAACTTCCTGCAGGAGGTTCGTTCTCTGTAAAGTTAAAAAAAGGAAAGGAATGAAAATATATTATAGCAGAGCCATTCTCAAGGCAAGTGAAGTCCTCAAAACATGCCAACAGCAATGCCAGCAGCAACAACAGTAGTAGTAGCAGCAATAGCAGTGTGTCTAGAAAGTAGATGTCACACACCATGCTAAGAACCAAATGGAACATAGCCTGACTGGTGTTGAACAGTGAACACACACACACACACACACATACATGTATACCGAGGAGCATACAGTCTCGTGGGGCATCCTATCTCAACTGGCAGTGTGTTATTCAAAGGTCAACAAACACGGAGAGCTGAGCACGCATGCAGTACACTCATACAATGCCTCGAGGCCACAGCGACTCACCGCATACGGCTGCTAGCATAACGTTGCAGCATATCAAGGCAACATGCCGACTGCTGCTACTCAACGTCACACCGGGACCTTTGGCAGTGTTGGTGCTTGAGCCAATGATTGCTGGATCATGCATGCTGTCTATCATTCCATCGCTGATACTCGACTGAGCAAGATCACTGGAGCGTGGCAAGCAGCAGCAGCAGCAGTTTCTCTCTTTCATTGTACAGAACGGTGAAGGGAAATGTGGCGACGCCGGTCTGGCCGCTGTTTCTTTCAGGCATTAAACGTTGTGTGCTCCTGGTTCATGGGATTCTCCGGAGACTTGGTCCATTCTTTGCGGATCATCTGCCGCAGCTGAGATTGACGCAATGATGGGTTCTCTAACTTCAATGCAGCCAAGCGGGTCTCCTCAAACGAAGCGTACGTGGCTTTGAGTCTGCGCTCCGGGTGGCGCTCAAGTGGTTTTTCCTGAAGAAAAAAACACACAGAAACAATACCATTGTGAAACAAATTGGGAATCAACATATCCGATCAAGGTTGTATCGCAATCAAATGTGGCTTCAATTGATTTCAACAGCATTCCATGTTGGCAGCTTTAAAGAAAACTAGCTGAGCAGTCCCTGGATTATGCAGCGACGGCATGCTGCCAAAACGTTCTAAACCACTGTCACCATCCAATGAGTCGCAAGAGTTTCTTGCAGCAGCAGGGACTTACTGAAACTGATAGTGCCGCAATAGCGTCCGTTACACTCCTGGCCTCGATACCACCATCTGCTGACAGTTGTGCTGCAACAGCCTGATTCGGATTCTCTTCAAGAAGATCGGGATTGACCACAACACCTAGAACAAAACATGTACAGACAAATGAGCATCAAGTGAAGAACACGTTGGTACTTTACAGGATAAAAGCCAAAAGAAAAAAAAGAAGAAAAAAACATATGCATGTTTCCACCCGGGATCGAACCGGGGACCTTTCGCGTGTTAGGCGAACGTGATAACCGCTACACTATGGAAACAGAGCTGAATATCTATGCAAAATATGGAGCCTTGATAGCGTAAAAAGAGAACGTAATCCCTCAAGGTGTGCAACTTCATTGGGGAAGCACTTCATCGAAAAACCCGGTCTTCGTCGGCTGCATCGGGCTGTTCTACTGTAAAAGCAGAAATTTTCGGTGGTGTAATATTTTCGGTATTCGCCAAAATCGGCGGTTCGGTAGAGGGAAATTTGTCGGTAAAACCCGTTCTCCAGGTAAGTGTACTAGTACTACATACATACAGTATCGGTTGTACCGAAATTTTCGGTGCATTTTATTTTCGGTAAAAATTGTCGGCACCGAAGTTACCGAAATAAAACACCACCGAAAATTTCTGCTTTTACAGTAATTGAACTTCTGAATGGAACTGAAGTCCATGCACCCAAAAGTTAGAGAAAACGTCGGGGATAGAACAAACCACGGAAAAACAGATGTGTTGGTAAAAGAGACAGTGGGTTTGACTTTGAGTGCATGAGTACAGTGCATGGACTGGTGCAGCTGAGTTACCATGGTTACGCAATGTAGGCAGTGCGTGTCAGCCCCAGTTCGATCGCACCCATGCAGTCAAAAGAAGACACTCCTTCAACAAATAAAGCCAATCGCCTACTGGTACGCATACTTACGAGAATCTGCTTCCTGTGTTGGCGATTTCCGACCAGCCTGTTGCCTTGCTTCCTCGCTAGCCCGGATTTCCGCACGTGTGATCTTTTTAGGAGTTTTGCTGCTAGCCTTTGCAGTAGCAATGGCTGTCTCTTCCTTCTCCAGCTCCAACGCTAGCTCTTTCTTACGCTCCAGTTGATCACTGCGTTTACTTTCTTTCTCAGACTGCATTTGAAAAGCACAGTTGGAGAGGAGATAAAAGAAGTTGTTTGAAAAGAGCATATGCACGAAACTTGGAATAGCAAGATAAACTAATTAGCTAAATGTTGCTTGATGACTTTTGCATTGGACAGAGGTGTACTTTTTGAAGTAGGAAGAAAGAAAAGCAATACATACTTACAATAGTAGTCTGAACAATAATAATATGATCCTTTCTTGCAAAAGTCTCCTTGTATTCACTGTGTATTTACAGCGAATATCAAGAGACTTTCGCAGCAAAGAGACCATAGATAATGTGAATGTTCAGACTAAGTAATACAATAAGTTTTTTAAAAACTACATTGTATTATCTGAAATGAGTTATGGGCCAATCCACTAGAGCGATACCGTAGTGACGCACATAAAGGTTCGTGCGCTTATGATTGAGGTTTTGCGTTATTTGCTATTTTTCGCAGGCAGTTTTGTCTCACACATTATTACATAGGCGTATGCGCTTGAGTTGCTAGAGTACCGGTACCTTGTATAATTATGCAAATAGTGCGATACCGCACTGCACATTAAGCTATGTGAAAATGGTGTTTGTGTGGTGTCCCTGTGTCGCGGATGGAATTGCATTTAGGTTCACTTATAAGCCCATGCGCTTATTTGTGGGGGTGCGCTTATGCCCGGATATAGGCACAAGCGCATAAATGCGCGTCACTACGGTACCTACTTCGAAGTAGTTTTGGTATGGATCGTAGATGTCAGGTCTTCGGCTAGGCTTGTGACTCTGTCAAACTCGCCACAGGTCCATCTCAACAAACATGGGTCAACGGAGCCGGGCTTATTCCTGTAGAAGCCGATGTAAGGGCTAGGCTTCTATTCACATCAGGCTTCTATTCAAACCAGGTATTTCTATGTGTGTCAGCACTAAAACCAGGCTTATGTGCCGACAGTGTATCTTGAAAAATCAGGCTTGCATTCAAAACAGGCTTCTATTTGAGATAGGCTTTAAACAAGACACTACGGTAACTATCTTGTTTGTGTACATACCTACAATCAAGAGTACATAAACTCCCAAGAGTGTGCAGCTCTGGATACTCTTCTATGGGGTTGGCCGATGGTGAAAACTCACACCACGTGACATCAGGATGATCATGGCAAATACTCGGCCTGTGTGCATGCTAGCCTTCGTTGTGCGTAGCACAAATTGTACTTTGAACACGTGACGTGAGTTTTCGACATCGGAGACCCTGTATGCAGAGTTGCACACTTTTGTGAGCTTACTCAGTTAGGCCACGATCGATTGGGCGAATCCCGAGCAAGTACGCTCCAAGTGAGCGTGATCGTTTGGCCGAATCCGAAGTAGGTGTACTCGGAGTGCAATCTGACCACACAGGCCTCCACACCGGGAGTGGCTGGAGTGGAAATGGACTTGACGTTTTTTTTGAAAGCTTTCACAGAATCTTTGTACGATATGCGTACCTTTCGCGTACTACACCCTTGCTTTGTTCGATTGGGCCAGCGTTGCTCGGACCACACCGCCTGTACGCACTTAATCCAGATTCGCCAATCGATGACACCCTTACCTACTCTAGTATAATGCAACACACTCAATGTGGTATACACCATCTGGTATAACTGAGAGTAGATCTACAGTGCTGCTCAATGAAATCCCATCGTGTGAGTCACGTTTGAGCCCTACACCAGTTCACATGCCACAGTAGTCGCAGGTCTGGGGCTGCACAGCGCCCGGCGCGTACTTGACACACACGATCGGATTCATTGAGCAGGACTGAAGTATCATAATCGTAAGCCGTGTGCCATTTTTCTTATGTACCGTATTTGTCGGAGTATAGCGTGCACTTTAGATGTACTATTTCTTCCGGTGTCAGTTTGTGCCGCACAAGTTTATTATCTAACTTCTTGGCAAATAATGGAGGATCTAAACGGTGTATATTAATGGAGAAAAAGAGAGAAAAAGAGGCGTGCAGAAGATTGATTGCAAGCTTGGCTGCGTTGCTGCACAACGATGAAACTAAGGATGAACTACTCTTTCAAGGACTACAGCAGACGGAGGCAAACATGCAGAAACAACTTCAGCTGATACACCAACGACAGGAGCAACAGCAGCAGCAACTGCAGAAGATGGAGCAGCACCAGCATCTGATTATCGGTGAATTGCAAGTAGTAATTCAAGAGCTGAAAAGTCTGTCAACGCTAACAACCTTTTGGAATAATGCCAGACAGCTTGGCGCAAGCAAATGAATTGTGATCTGTGCATAGCTGTGTGCAATGATGTGGTGTGACTGTGACGGTGTATGGTTGTGTAGCTTTTACACTGGGTTCACCGAAGGCCCCGGCCATCCGCATGGTCTGAACTGCCACACTTACCACCCTTTCTGCTGTATCACGTGTATGTTGCATGTCTTGTTCGTTCTGAAGTTTGCATGGATGAGATTGTGAAAGAATAGTGTTCTGTCAATCACAACTACTTTTGCCAAAGTCATCACACATCCTTCACTCTAAACTCCTCTGACAGTTCCACATGGGCCACTTTCTCAACATTCTTTCTCTGAGTTCACCACTGTGACAGCTGATGACATCCTGGCTCTCCTAAGACACCTTGACAACCGCAAGGCCACAGGTCCTGACTTGACCCCTCCCACCATTTACAAGATAATTGGTGAGCAAATATCAGAACCACTCCCACGACTCTGCTCATCCTCACTCTCCTACGGCGAGTTCCCCGAATGCTATAAATTTGCGCATGTGTGTCCCACTCACAAGAAAGGTGACAAGTCCATTGCTAGCGATTACAGGCCGATATCACTGTTACCCCAGATGGCTAAGCTGATGGAGACACTAGCACATGAACAGCTCATGGATCACACCTATACTGCTATACTGCTATACTGCTATACTGCTATACTGCTATACTGCTCCGACTGCGACACCACTACTCTCACCGGAGCAATGTGCGTACCGGAAACACCACTCCTGTCAGGACCTACTGGCTCGTGCAGTGAACGACTGGCACACATCTCTGCGAATAAGGACATTTTGTTGTTGCTGCATTCCTGGACATGTCGAAGGCATTCGACTCAGTAAACCATGGCATGCTCCTACAAGAATTGACTGACATTGGCGTGGGAGGTACAGCTTTGCACTGGTTTCTTATATACCTACAGAACCAGGAACAGTGTGTCGTTACAAAGACAGCTCAGGGTGACACATACGCAGGAAACAGAGGTGTGCTGCAAGGCTCTGTCCTTCGCCCCTTTTTATTCAACATTTCCAGGGTTCTAGCCAGGTCAATATAGTAGGGGGGGGGGGGGGGTATGGGAAAAAGTTACCCCGTGACCCATTTTTTCCATTGTCCAAAATTGTCTTGCCATGCAAAATGCAACATACAGGGTGAACCCCGACTTCACCCCTCACAAATGTGCCTTTATGAACCCTCTAGTAGTGACTATCGACTGTATTTTCGTTGAATGGCGCGAAAAAACACAAAAATCGGAAAATGAGTAGGGGGTGGCACTTTTTCACAGGGGGGCGCTGCGCCCCCCCCCCCCCCCCCCCCTATCCCCCTTTGGCTAGAACCCTGATTTCAGTTCGTAGGTTTTGTGCCTAGCTGTTGCACTTTCTGACAATAGTATCTAGTTACAGTAGTGGACAGTTACTCTTAACTTGTAACCATGTGCTCCTTTCCTTTCTCTAAATTATATTATTGGCTCAACATCCGAGTTTAATACTAGTATAGTAATAGTTGAGGCCCCAAATCGCAGATGCGCACTATTCCGAATATGAAAATGCACGTACTTTGAAAAGCAGTGCAATGCATCAAGCTATTGCGAAGTTTGCCACCTCTGGCCCGAGGCAAACCATAACAGTTATGTGTGCATTTCTAGTGTCTACTGCCAGCTACACTGCTTATGCATGATGGGTACGAGACCCCATCGGTGGCATCATCATCCACTAGTATGTGAATGTAAAATGGTCGCAATAGTATTGTCTACATTGTATATGATCGAAAATACTCTCAAATCTAGACTGTGCAATATACTCCGGATACTGTAGAGGCAGAACATTAATTTTGTCGGTCAATAATTTCGTCCAACTCCAAAGAAAGGGAGTTCGTCCGGTTGAAAATTTCGTCAATGGATCATAAGAGTGTATAGAAAAGCTGGACAAATCGACATTAATCCGGCATTTAATTTACCCAAAAACTTCCTGGACGAAAAAGACGAAATTAAACTCCAGACGAATATTTCTGCAATGTACAGTATACCTTGAATTGCCAAAACGTTGCTCAAAAGAGGGGGTGCGCATTATACTCAGGTGCCCGTTATACGTTATACTCCGGCAAATACGGTAGCTGAATCTTTTCATTCAAACCAGCTAGGTTAGTCGCTGCTGCCATGGACACGTACCTTTCGCTGCTGTTTTCTGGCAACATGTTTATCATCATCTCGCCAAAACTCATCTTCCTCGTCCTTCTGCTTCTTCGCCACACGATCGGCCTCAGCAGTCGCCCGCCGCTCGCGCGCCGCAACCGCCTTGGTGTTGGTTCCCTTGAAGTTCTTCGGCATATTGCTTGTTTGTTAGAAGACTACAAACTTCACAAAACTTACTAGCTCCAGATAAAAGAGTAACGATGTGTACAATGAAATGCTGGCAAAATTAATGGAATTCGAATACGATCGAGCTCCGATTTTATCCAGGACCAGGATTCTATTGCAACCGCGACAGGCAATGCACCACAACGCTCTGGACAAGCCACAGACGAGTTACATGGAGCACACAGTTGAGGATATTTTGTGCCACACAGCACTGACTGCCGACGTGTCGACCTTGCCTTGCAAGCTAAGCTAGCTTGGCCAGCTCAGCTCAGGGGACTTTCAAGAACAATGAAAATAAGAATGATCACAAAAATATATATGGCCATTGTGTCATTCCACTTTTTGTGCTAAGTCATTGCGTCATCACGCGATCGCGAGTCTTTAAAAAAAATTGCTGCAAACACTGCAAAAAAACATCTCTGCAAATAAAAATGCAAGCTTGCAATTAGCTTTGCGAGTGGATGTAATGTGTATGTGTCTTCCTTGATCCTTGACTAGTGGACAAGGAGGTAAACGAAAGAGAGGAGAGTGGTGACAACGCTAGCATCATGTCCAACCCTATCGTCCGTCCGCCTTCAGTGGTGAAGCACTTGGTAAATATCCGTGTGTTTACTCATGCCGATATAAAGAAGCAAGCTCGTCCACTAAAAGTCAGGAAAGTGAGAAGGAGGTGCGTGCTGACTGGAAACCCACGTAATTTGATCACCGACTATAAAATTTCTCGTCATATGTACCATCTGATGGGAATGGCAGGGAGCATCCGTGGCATCAACAAATCGACGTGGTCATGAACACTTTTGATTGTTCATACTGTAAGCTGTTGCTGCTACTAGTATGAATATCTAGTGTGTGGTTGCTGGCTGTATAATATTGCTGTATATTGCTGTATAATGTTGTTATAAAAGTCTATGAGGACAATAAAGTGATGGCCTAACTTTTAAAATTATTATCCCGTCATCCCCACTTTTCTTATAGGGTATTCACACGACAGGCACTTGCACGTTTTACAGGGAATGACATACGAGAAAAGTGACTGTGTGGATTCACACAGCTGCACTCGACGACAGGCACGTTTGCATTTTTGAATGCTTCACCGACCAGTAGCCATGGGTATTTCAAATTTTCGAAACACGCATACAATAATTATCATGCTCTAAAGAGCCGCGTAAAAAATCAAGTCTTGTTTCGCGCTTTTTGGTGTAAATGTACTCGTGCACGCCACGATTATCGTGCAAGTGGGCCCCTAGCTCGCTTGCACTTTTCAGCCACTTTTCTCGTTCACAGGTAAAATACCATAGCAACTTTCCGGTGCACGTAGGTATGCCTGTCGTGTGAATACCCCATTAGTGACCATACATTCCTGCTTGTACAGCAGCTCATCAGACAAAGCCTTGATGATCATGCAGTGTTCTCAAGCCTTGATGATCATGTACTGTTCTCAAGCATTCATATGCCTGTTAGCTGCTGCTCATGACATGAGTGCTTGTCTGACTGGTCCATGTGCATCCATTATAATTATTAGAAGAACATCTGACACAGCACGCAGTGGTGAGGATTGCACATTGCTTGCTGGCAGTTGACTACAACCATGCTTGTTGAAATTCGACCATGAGCTGACTTCCTGCGCCCCCGAGTCGAGCCGCTCCTGACACACTGCAGTTGTGCAGGCCAGCTTACATACCTTCACAATGCCTCCATCGGGGCGCGGGTCTCAAGCGAATGGTTGCATGCCACTGGCTAGCACTGTACTATAGTATGTGTGTGCGCATGTGTGAGTGCATGTGTGATGGATTCGTGTAAAGAAACAGAAAGATGCTGCATGTGGATGCGTACGGTGGGGGGGGGGGGGGGGGGGGGGGCATTTGATAGTTTCTGACCGCCATCAGGGAGTACTAAAAACCTTGAGTACTCCCTGGTTGCCATAATTTTTTTGCCGTCACCGTTTAGCCTTGTCATTATCTTAGCAGACAGAAGTGGGGATTGTTGAGGAATGTGGAACATTTTCTTTGCCGTCGTAGACCATGGAGCTGTAAAGTACAAAACGTATTTTACGACTCGCTGTCGTGGACTGCATGTGTCTTGTTCTCTCGAGTCTGTGGCATGAAAGGACATTGGATGGTCCCGAACACGTAACTGCTTGCTGGATCACTTGATAATCTGCAGTTGTGGCCAATGATTAATATTAAAGCATGCCCGTAGAAAAACATAGAAACAGATCACAGCCTGACGTCAGACGAGCTACCGCCGGTGGTAGCCCTACATGTACAGTGCGTATGGGTTATAGCGTGTGTATGGGTTATAGCGTGGTCGTGTAAAAGAATATACTGCCTACAAGAATGAACTCTTATGTTTTCATAATCATAACATGGATTTCAAGTGCACATTTATTCTTACAAGCAATTTTATCGTACAGTAGAATATATCGGTCCTAAGAATGGACTTTGTGTAGCGAAACATGCCAGATTAGAACAAAGTATATCGCCTGTAGTAATAACATCCGTCCAATGCAGTTCCGATCTGACTCGCGTTGGGTCGTAGTGCTGCAGATTCAACTGTTGTGGTCATGTAACTCATGTTGCATAGCCACATGGTAAGTAAGCATATGTGACTAACACTACATTGTATGTACGATGATCTTCCTGCCTCTGCGCACATGATATGTAACACTTGATTTATCGTGTGTAAGAAATATCGGAAATAAGAATAGAGAGTCGTTTTTTAAACACCCACGCTATAACCGATACCTACTGTACGTGCATTCTACTCCCACAAACAGAGGGGCTACATGCATGCAGCGGTTCTCCACCAGTATGTGAAATAAACTTGTAAAGGAAGAAAAAGAACACACCATGGATGAACGGTGTACTTTGTAAACATAGGAGTGGTTCTCCACAACACAACAGTTGGAAGATCTAATTCACTTTGCCATCTGCACAATGCAATGTATAATGAGAACAGTCTTGAGACGTTTTTCTTACTGCAGTCTGAAGGAAGAAATAAGTAGCTGGAACAAGCAAGAGTGGAGGACAGGGTGAGAAGATGGAGGGCAGATGTCAGCACAAAGGAAGAGTGCTTGGCCAGTAGTGTGCAGAGAGGGAATCTGGCTAACATGCCCCTGTGTCCAGCACAATGGGGACAGCAGCACCAACTCCACCAGTGCACCTACAGTATGTGCTCATTAAAAACCTACACTTACTAGCTAGAAGATGCATAATCTGCTAACAACTGTCTTTAAAAAAAAAAGTATTGCGGAGATAATGATTACAATACACTGTTCAGTTCTGGACCAAGAGTCGCTGGGTCCAGTGCTCAACAGAAAACTCTCTCTCTCACTCACTCACTTCTCAGTCCTCATACTGTAGTAGCGAACACCGGGAGAAAGGCGAGGCCAGCTTGCCTAGCGAGGTGTCACACACAGCAGCAGGTAATGCAGTTTCCTCTTAGATCCTCTCTTTCCCTGATCGACTCTCATGATAGCACTCTAAACTCTATCACAATGCCGAGCTTCTAGTGCAGGAGGTAAGCTAGAAATGCCACGGCCAGCCAAAGAGACCAGCTAAGCATGTAGAGCGAAGACGCGGCAGAAGTGGTTGCTGGAGCAATGGTTGGGTTCCGGTTGCGAGGGTCCTGGTTGGCTGGCAGTTGGATAAGATCGTCGGGAAACATGTTAGGCTGCAGTGGGCACAGGTCATTGGCATCCTGGCCGGCTGCACAACAGAAAAAAAAGATAAAGATAAAATTTTGAATAAGTATGCAAATAGGTGGCGAGGAGACAACAGTTTAAGTAACGCTACAAGTATGAAAATACTTAACTGTGCCGTCATGCCCCCCCCCCCCCACACACACAGCAACGCAGTTAGTTTAATAGTGTTGTCACATCCCTTTAGCTTTCATTGTGGTCGTATACTTAGCACCTGATGGTAATATACGGTGATCCTACGTTATTCCATGTTACTGTACTGATCACTGATGCGATTCCATGTTACCAAGAGTACATAACCCCCCAGAGTGTGCAACGCCTGATCCAGCTCTGCATAGGTCGAGCGTAATCGGATCTTCTGATGTCATGCGTACACTCCACACCAGCGCAAGGCCGGTCTCGAGGCAGGGCACCGTTGTTTTTGATCCGAGAGTACCCGCGACTCCCCGGGTTCCCCTCAGATGTGTACGGAATTATGATGCAAAGATCCGATTACGCTCGACCTATGCAGAGCTAGATCAGGCGATGCACACTCTGGGGGGTTATGTACTCTTGATGCTACCAAGAGTTCATAACCCCCAAGAGTGTGCAACGGGCATAGACCCAGCGCTCGGCGAAATTCCTACATTACGTCGTGCGCAGCTTGTCATCCGAGGTAAATTTGGGTTCTTTGCGATTTCTGGAAACTATACCCTGAACCGCCCCTAACTCAAGGCTGTAGCCTCGACTTTTCGAAGCTTTTTTTGAAGACATTTCGGACGTATAAGTCGTACTTTCTCAAAAACAAACTCTTTCTCCAAGAATCCAATGGACATCGCGACAGGAAGAAGTGAGGACGCTGTTAAAAATATTGCATTGCCGTTGAGGATAATCATTCTGATAGCTGTGCAACTCAGCCGAAAAATGCTCCTTCGACGTATTCTCAAGTTCCTCAACCATTTTGAAATTATCTTCCAGGAAAGCACCAGAAATATGCCGATGGCCTGGGGAAGAAATTGTTCTTGAAGAGACTGACTGCACTGGTGAAAGAAGAAGGCGATGAAGAGTCACCATTGCATCGAAAAAATAGTTTTGTCTTTCATGTGCATACTGTCTTTGTTTCACTTCTGCTTCTTGACTCGAGGCTCAGACTATAGAATTGCAGTTTAGGCAGTTTACCCTGGGGAAGCATCCTGGTTTGACTGTAAATTTTAGAAGAATTCATTGGCGTGACTCATCGCACTGCACCAAAAATGACGCAATGAAGGAATTCCGCCGAGCGGGCTTCCATACAGGGACTGATCAGGAGTTGCACACTCTTGGGGGTTATGAACTCTTGATGCTACTGTACTGATCAATGATGTTATTCCACCGAAGAAGGGTCACAAGAAAACATTTCGGATTTGAAACTAACTTTTAAAAACTACATGTACTTTGCTTTGCGCACGTACATATAAACACAAATGTGTGTGGACATGACGTCATAATTTTAAATTATTTTCATTTTGAATTATGTGAATTTTTGATGAGGCAAAATTATGCCATCAGGCTTGATTCACAGTCATATGATTATCACCGGCACAGTACACACAGGACCAAGTAGCATCTGCCGTTATGAACCTATGAATGGTGTGATGCAATTATTTGGTGGTGAAGCATAGGCCCTATACAACTCGCACTGAACAGCAGTGCAAGCCGAAAGCAAACATTATGATTGTGTCGGTGGGTGATGGACAACCCGACGGCCAGGCACACCAAAATACAGATCACATGTGGACGTTTGAGTCAGTTTGACACAGCTGATCAAAAGTGATCCCCCGTGATGGTGTGAGCACATGGCTATTAATTAATTATGGAATGCATTAAAATGCTAAAGTTGACAAAACAGGTTCAGTGTATGGCTCAGTATAGGCTTGAGTTGCCACCGACTTACCAGTGTTGAATGTGATAATCCTGTACCAGAAACTGACATCACTTTCCGCACAGCTAGTGCAGAAAAACTTGACGGTCACCACCTGCGATCCTACACCGGGGATCTTGCGGCAGAACGAAAAGCTGCTCTGTGGACCAGGAATGGAGAGAGAGATAGAGAGAGACTATGAATATAGTATGTGCAGTACTCATTAGTCACGAAGTGTAGTGCATTAGTGATTGTGTGGTACCGTTGAATGTTGCTAGTCTTGCGGTCAGTCATCCAGCACGCTGGTTACCCAAACCTACACTAACAGCTCATAAACTGTATACTTGCAGAGAAATTACAGTCCTACTTCAAGTAAATGCGGACAGTGCGGACCATGAACATTGTCTTTATGCAGTGTTACATACAAGTCAGTCTATATACCGTAAAGTCTTGTATAAAAGCCGCACTTGAATAGAAGCCGCCCTCGAATAGAAGCCGCAATTTTGGGCCCATCAAATCACACACACGCCTGGTTTTAGTGTTGACATACATAGAAATACCTGTCTTGTATAGAAGCCTGCAAAATTTCACCAAGAAAGTCATAGAAGCTGCGGCTTTTATACAAGACTTTACGGTAAGTTCGCTGATCATGACGACTGTCTCAGGATAATACTAGTAACTGAGCATGAAAATACAGGTAAAGCCATGCTTTACAGTCCTTTCATGTGCGAACACAAGATGGCCATTTAGCTTCGGTTATCCAGAATATTCATTTATCCAGCCGCATCCAGCCCTGAGAGTGCCGGATAACTGACGCGCAACCGTACATGTCCACACTGGATAAAATGCCACAGACACATCTCTTCCTCGCACGGCTCCCGAGGGGGCTAGTACCTACCTCAACAAAGAGAAGAGCAAGCCAATGATCTTTCAAAAAGTAGACGTGGAGACAAAAATCGTAAAATAGAGTAAAATAATGCAGAGTGCAGAGTGCACAGTAGTAGACATACTGTCGGACGTGCTACCAACAGCCAGAAAGGGACGGAGACGAACGTTTTCTTGTGACAATCATCAGTGGAAAATTATTGTCACTAAATCCTTCTCCAAGACAAATGAAACTTATACAGAGAGATAGAATATGAGACCAAAACATTAGGTGACACAGTTATAGAGTTAGTCTCATATGCTATCTCTCCGTATGCGTTTCAGTTGTCCTTGAGAATGATTTAGTCACGATAGTTTTCCACTGATGATTGTCACAAGAAAACGGTCGTCTCCGTCCCTTTCTGGCTGTTGGTAGTACGTCTACTAATGCCTACGCATTCTGCATTATATTACTCTATTTTACGATCTTTCAAAAATTCTTCAATTCTAAGCGTAAGCACAAACAACAACAACAACAACAACAACAACAGCAACAGCAACAGCAACAACAACAACAACTCTTATTGGCGATGGTGCCATCGTGAGAATAAAGAATTCCATTCAAACAACAACAGAGAACAGAAGCAAGCATGATAGGCTGAACTCACATCTTGGCATATACGGCTTCCAACTGTGTTGCCATCAACCTGGAATTCAGCGCTGGAGTCAAACGCAATATCAATGCGTGCACAAACACACACACACACACACACACACACACACACACACACACACAAACATATTGAGTCTTAGACACCAGCAGCATGCATACGAGAAAGAGAAAGAGAGAGAGAGAGAGAGAGAGAGAGACTAGGAGTTAATAAAAGTTAGACATCAGCAGATTGGGCCAGCCAAATGTTCATATCTAAGCAGCAAGAAATATATCTTACCATAGCTGTTTGTTGGTCTGAATCTGAGGTTACCATGGGGTTGATCAGCACAACGTGTAGAAACACACACACACACACACACACACATAACCACACACACACACAACCACACACACACACAACCACACACACACACACAACCACATACACACACAACCACACAACCACACACACACACACACACACACACACACACACACACACACACACACACACACACACACACACACACACACACACACACACACACACACACACACAACCACACACACAATGCACACGGTTACACACCAGTAAACAACATCGCAAGTGGTAGCAAAAAGTACATTCACTGACACTCACATGCATCACACAGCCACACAATACCAATATGAGAGACGAGGATGCCTGCGAAACCATTGGTTTTAATACAGCACACTAGTATGTTGTTTCAATGATGGCTACATTCACCAGGAGTACTGCAGGGATGAATTTACTGTCATATTATGCATTTTCTGCTATACAAAATCACAATTGCGTTGCAGTCTTTGATTTTGACTAGCATTTTTCTTTGAAGGTTGAGTGTTTACCACATTGTCCTTCTTCAGAGTAATGTCTGAAAGCCCATCTGCCAAAACGACTGAAGCATACATGTGCTAAAAGATTGAGAGTGCCTGCACCACATACACTGCACTGTATGAATGTTACTGGACAGTGCAGGCTAGGCATGGATAGTCTGTATGTATCGCAGTTATCCGAGAGTCAAGGTGACTTTTGAGTAGCAGTAGATGATTTTGCATCGCAATCTGCGATGCGATACAGGATAAATTCATCCCTGTACTGTTTTGCAGTTCGTGTATATTTATCAGATCGTGCCTTCTAATACCAGGGCTACTTCGTAGTTGGCTACATACACATTCTTCCAAGTTGCTTCACACTATGATGCTGCAGTTGAAAGCCCTATTTGAATATGATGGCCAGCAGTGTTTGATGGTACGGTATGGGACATATACGGGACGGTGCCAGGCATGCCCGACGCCAGAAACAAACACACACACACAAACACATACACACAGATACGAAATAAAGCGGTGTGAACCCGGTTTAGCGCCAGACGCCACTAAAGTAAACGTCTTTTGCATCGCTTCAGGAATAAAAATCAATCAATCAATCACTGCACTCTGTGGGGTGCACATTCGGTGTCACAGAAGGTATACCGGTACTCACATGTACAATAGCCCACTCGCTACACTGGCCATTGCCATCCAAGTTACAGTTGATTCTTGCGCATGGCTGAGCAATTCCTTGCTGTGGCTGAAAGTAGTATGTGCTGAATACGAAGCCAAGAGGGCGGCATGCGTCATTCTCTGTGAAGTTCAACGTATGGTCTTTGAACACTGTCTGGTTATTCGGATACTCCGGTACCCAGGTGCAACAACCTGATGATCGAGTATTCGGACATTGCGATGCGGATGATGGTAGTGAGCAAACTTGACCATTAGCAAACCTCAGCGTAACCGCTACAGGGTTGAACCAACAGAAGACAAGATTTTATTTTATTATAATCATTCAATCTTCATTAATCATGATCAGAAAGTAAACAATGTATTCTTCTGGCTTCCTCCTCGAGTATGTCCAATGAATAAACTGCTCCACAACCTGCTCACCTGCAAACACAGTTAGTACGATAAAGTAACGCATGATGAACGGCGATCCCTCCCTTGGTGTATATTCACACAACTATCTGGCGGTGCTACTTCCAAAAGCGAATCTGATAAAATAAATAAGAACGATTTGAGTTACAACTCTCCCTCTCTCCTCTCGGAAGTACTACAACGCCAACTGCTGTAGCTCCGCGAATCCCAAGTCAATTATGCTTCTGATCCAGATGGTACGTGATCTCGAGGTTATGCTAGTACATGACCAAGTCAGAAACGCCCGGACTTCGAGCACAGTAGCAAGGCAACCTCGGGCCAGCCAAGGTTGTGATGTCCAAACAGCAAAGCTAAAGCGCTGACTTGCCAACTGACACTTCCCTGTCAAAAATCTGAAAATCCAAAAACTGAACGCCTTATTTGACCATACCGTACAGCGCTAGCGTCGGTACGCGGTACCTGCATGGATCAGCACCATGGAGATATGCAATGCTGTACAGTGTGCTATTGTTGCGGGCAGAAAATTAATGACATGGCTGTCTAGTTCATATCATGTCTATGCATTTGCCCGAGTTGGCAACAGAGCGCAACACTAGTATAAGTTGAGTTGGGCTGGGCTAAGGTGGTTCCAAAATGCCAAGAATACATGTAGCATACAATACTAGACAACACAGACATCAGAAGCCCAGCGTTTTAAACCTCTGCTCATTCAAACTGGCCATTACTGCTAGTGACAGCTGGCAGGCAGATAACGGAACACTAGCCTTATGGGGGAAAAACGACAGGGGAGAGGCAACCCGCTTCGGACCCGCCTGAGCCACTCATGATGTACACAGTCACGCATTCCTCGAAATCACTCACAGCAGCCCTAAACACAGTCGATCATTAGCTTGGACCAGAGCTGACAAAACCAACGCAGCCATTCACATTCAGACTCGCACTTGCAGTGCACCCGTACCAATGCGATAGCTCAAGTATCCGTTGCGTTTTAACCGGGTTGCACTCAATAACGACTCTTATTTACAGACAGAAAAAGGAAAACAAAAAGAAGAAAACCTCATGTTCGCATAAAGATGACTATAGCATAAATCAGATGTTTCCTTGCACTATTCACTCAGTATAAAGTGTATGCTGTTTCATGTTTCATGACATCAGGAAAAGATGCTGCATGAAGTCCAGCAGTCCTAATAATGTATTGACCAGCCTACAAGTAAAATGATAGGTTAAAAAACTTGAATAAACTTTTAGAATACGATGGCTTCCTCCTGGGTGACCTGTGATATTTCTAAACAGATGTGGCATGGCACGGCACTTGTAGAATTCTATAGTACTTGAACGAGGATAGGGATCGGTTCATATCATGGAACAAGAAACAACACTACTTGACGGTTGAATGAGACCACATGAAACACGCACGAAGTCGTGAATCCTGCCTCTCCAGCTCGGACTTGTCATCCTCAAACTCACTACAGGCCTCGGCGCCATACAGCAGATCAGAGAGCAGCCATGAGTCTTCTTATACGCCAGCAATTCAGAGAGAGGGGCCATGACTATCCTTCATCCTCCGAATCTGAGCCTTCCTCTGCAAAAAGAAAGAAGCCGGGAAAGAAAGACACAAGTTAGATGAAGTACAATGCAGAGCATTCACACAGCACTACAGCCTAGTACAGGTGTTGGAGAGTCAAGCTGTGATGGACAACTCAGCAGAAAGTCAAGTGCAGCTCACAAATCACCCACACGTGCACAAACGCAGATAAGCCCAGTACAAGTACACAGACGGTGCATTGACTGAGAGTACATTTTAATGTACTCTCATAGTATTTGCCGCACCCACTCGAATAAAAGCCCCTCTTGGATGATTGCCCCCCCCCTCCCCCCCCCCCACACAACGACTGTTTGAAAAAATACAAGCCCCTCTCAAATAGAAGCCCGGACTACTATTCGCAAAGGATGGGGTGAACAGGTAGTGCCATGTATGGTGAAATCGGTAATGTCAGGGGCGTACAAAACATATCGTGCATGTACATGCATGCACATAACGGTACATGTCCAGGTCAATGCAGTGTGTGCGAACTAACTTGTCTTTCGTTCGTGCCATCTATCAGTTTTGTGGGGTGGCTAAGCCTGTATTTGTGAAGATCTCGAGTAAGACCCTAATTCTTTATTTTAATTTTATTTATTCAACATCTTATGGCTTCCAATGGCAGCCAAAACGGGAAGATGTGGGTGATAGCCAACCATGGTAAAAGAAGGAGAAGATTATATACATGAAAAGGAAACAGCCGAAAAGCTATATTGATTTAATAGTTTTTTTTATTATGGTGCACGCAGTCATCAGCAAGCCCTCAGATTCACTTTAAATTCTTTCAATGATGCAGAAGTCTTCACTGAGTCGGGAAGTTGTAGCCACGCACAGTAGCCCTGGAAGAATGGCGATCTTGTGAATTGCGTTGACTTGGCCTTGGGAAGAGACACTTTGTTTCTGGTTGAGCGGCCCGAAACAAACCAGTTATAAGAGGCTTTATATGTTCAGGAACACAACCCAAGAGCATTCGATGAACCAATATACAGAGGCAAATTAGTCGGCGTTGCTCTAACGGAGTAGTCTGAGCTAATAAGTACAACTCATTGGAGGGAAAGGAAGGTTTCTTCGAGAACAATTTTTTTAGAACTTTCTTATGATGAACTTCAATGGAATCGGATAAGACCTTAGCTAGACCACACCAGGCTGTGGCAGCATATTCAAACAATGGAAGGAGATACATTTTATATATAGCTGAACGGCACGGAATAGAGAGATGTTTACAATGACTTTTAATATAGCCAAGAGCACGGCTGACTTTATTACAAATGTAATCTACATGAGCCGATCAGGACATGGATGAATCGAACATTACCCCTAGGTGTTTGTGCTCCTTTACCGTCTGAATTTCTGTAGGTGAATTGGGAAAGGTGAACTTAAACGTTGAGGCAGAATCTGTTAGAAACAGTACTCTGGTTTTTGAAGCGTTTGCCTGAAGCCTCCAACTGGACATCCAGGTGACAATCATATTTATCGCGTCTTGCAACTCTGACTCAAGCTGTTTGACAGTTTTACAGTGGCGCAAAGCAGCTGTATCGTCAGCAAACAATGACATTCCAGAAACATGACTTGGTAGATCATTAACATACAAAACAAAAAGCAATGGTCCAAGAATTGAGCCCTGAGGCACCCCCGACAGCACGGGTAGCTTTGGCGAGTCTGCTCCCGACACGGACACAAACTGGCTTCTCCCAGAAAGATAGCTCTCTATCCACTTCAACGGTGTGTCAGAGATGTTAAAGATGACTTGAAGCTTCCTCAAGAGACCTCTATGCCACACTGTGTCAAACGCCTTGGCAAGATCGAAGAAGCAAATGCCCGTGTACAACTTTTCTGCTCTTGCTCCTTTAAAAAATGTCCTGTACAAGGCGAGACAGCTGCAGTGAAGTCGAGTCTCCACGACGAAAGCCAGACTGAGCAGGGTGAATGGCAGGGGCAACATGGCTATACAACTGATCATAAAATATTCGTTCACATAATTTTGAAATGCATGATAAGAGAGAGAGAGAGAGATCGGCCTGTAATTTCCAGGAGTAGCTTTACTACCTTTGCCCTTAAATATCGGCGTTATTTTGGCCACTTTCCATGCCGATGAAAACTTCCCTGTTCTGAAAGACAAATTAAATAGAAGACATAGAGGATATGATAATGATGATGCTAGAGCCTTAACTTTAAATAACAACTTCGTTGGAGATGCCGTCCATACCAGGCGATTTGTTAAGCTTAAGGTGGGAGTATACCCTGTCAGCCGTATACTGGACTCGTACCAATACAAAGTAGCAGAACTCAGGAATGGATTGATATTTTTCCATGAAATTTTGAACAGTTATTAATTATACCCCAATGCACCAAATGGCAGAAAAGACAAGTGAGATTTCAACACAGCAGACCACTGGTACATCAGTACTGGAGAAGAGCGCACATCGCACGGTGGTCAAAGACCGTTTACAGCACAGTTGGTCAGAGAACAGTGCCTGGGTTCAAGAGATACCCTGAATCAAGAGGGGATACCACAAGCTAAAAAATGAGTGAACTAAAGTGCAGCAAATTCTTCTATTTGCTACTTAGTAAAGTCACCATTCAGGGTTGTCGAAGCGTGCGTATAGAAGTTTACTTTCAACCAGGCAGTACCATTGCCACAAGGATCAAAAACAAAAACTGTTCCACTCATATTGTAGCTAACAAAACACAGATTTCAAAAATGTATAGGTTTATAGGTTGGTATTGAAGCGTTCTTGAGATACAGTGTAAACGGTGGCCTAAACTACCCTATTTACAGCTAACTTTTGGGTGTCAAAATCGGTTCAACGATGAGTTCAAAACTCACCAGCTGCATATGTAGTGCCCTCATCTTCTAGATTCTGCTCCTCAATGCCTTTCCTACGCCTCCTACGTTGTCTTCTGCGACTTTTCTCTGCTTCCTTCAGCTTTCTCTCTGCACACAGAGTAACAGCGACCTCGGCCTCCATGCCTGGAGCAGATCGATCCGTATTGATTTTAAAGGTTAGAGTTTGATATTCAGCAGCTGTAATCTTGTCACGCTCTCTCTTCTCCATCCACTGCTTGCATGCATGACAGTGCTTTGTGCTAATATGGAGATCCAAAACACGACCAACTTCCCAGCCAATGCATGTGAAGACACCGTGCAGAGATGTGAAGCCGCGTTTCATCCAGGTGCCGTCAAACGTTACTTCAGTAATGTGCTCGTCTTTCTGCTTGCTCAAGTTCAACGCCTGCACATCCCGGGATGCTTGCTGCATACTGCTCTCAGCAACAGATTTAGAAGCAACATACAAGGCTTTCTGATGACACTGGAAAGCCGACTTCGATATAGGCGGTGGCAAATTCATGATACCGCAGAATTTACGCAGGCCACGATGACCCTTTCCTATTGATCTCGCTGCAAGCACACTGCGTCTATTACAATCATAAAAATACTGGTTGGACTTGGGTATGAGTGGATACTTGCTCATGCCAGCGCAGTCAACATTGCTACAAACTAAAGATATACAACTAGCTAAGCCAGCACGATCTGTCTCCTTGACAGTCAAACTGCCAGTTCTACAAATTTTGCATACGCAAATTTCTGAGACAATTGTCTTCAGGCACTCCATGTCAACAAGGCGATATCCAGCACACTCTTGCTCACTGCCATCGTCACTGCCTAGTTCAGAATCTTGAGGAGAGTCATCGCCACTGCTGGCCTTAGAAACACTAGCAGAGCTCTCAGAATCGCCTCTGTCACTTGAATGCTCATTGTCGACATCACTGTCTGGGTTCGAGTACGACGAGGAGTCACTCGAACAAGACGACGAGGAATCACAAACAATCCATCTGGGAAAGTCTACATCAAGCTTTCGCTTCGCAGCAGACACTGGCGTTTCTTCGTGACTTGACTCAGACGCGGAATCGCCATCTGGAACAGCCGTGGCAGCGGTAGACTGCCCAAAATACCTTTTAGAACGCTTCTTGGGGCGATAGGACAATTTCCTCTTGCCCATACTCTCAAGATCAAGGCCTTGTCGTTCTGAAACAGCAACATTTTTCTTGCCAACTAATCAAATGCAGCCGCCATGTTTGTTTATGTTACTAACAGCAACGAAACAGCAAGAAATTTCTCCAAATCTGCGCCGAAGTCACTCGTAGTGTTAGATTTAGAAACAGTTAAAAAACCTGTCAACTTGGTTCAAAAATTCTAAAATATGTTTTACGCACTCAATGAAACAGTAAATAACTCTTGACTGGGTGATCCGATCTCGCTAAAAGTTTCTGGAGATACCCCTACGCATTATAGCTTTCATTTGAGACCATAACCAGTCGGATCGACCGTCTTACGATTTTTAAGCTTCGCAATAGCTTTGCGCACTCCAGCTGTGGTTATTATCGGAGCACGAAACGCATTCAGGAGGCATGGGTGTTGGTCTAAGGACGGCAATGCTATGCGTGGGTCGTCAACAACCGCCACTGATGCAAATTGCTCGTTCAAAGCCGCAGCTTTAGGGCCGGGTTCCACTGCGGATCCGCGGCTCCGCTGCTCCGCGGTACTTGGCTGCATGCAGCGGAGCAGCGCGGTTCCACTGACACTCGCCATTCGCGGTACCGCGGTCGTAGTCCACACTTTTTGATGACGTTTCACCTGCCTGCGCGCGCGCGCGCGCACGCGCGAAATCAAAAAAAATCCTCGTGTTCTGGCCTGCGCAACGAATTAAATTTTGAATTTGAAAATTCTGGCGTACGAAACAATGCAAAGTACGGGAAACAGGTCGAGCCGCGACCGCGGCTCGCAGTTTTTGGTCAAGAATCGTAGCAAAAGCTCGCGATGAGCCGCGGCCTCGCTGCTCCAGCTCGAGCCGCGGTCACTATGGTAATGAGGACGTTTCAAGCCGCGAAAGACGAGCAGCGGAGCCGCAGTGGAACCCGGCCCTCAGCTGCAGGGTATGCTGCCAACTTTCCATTTGATGCGAGGTCAGGTATCCCAGGGCTATTTCCCGAAGATCTCT